TATCGTTTTTAGTGACGGGGTCGACGTTCACATCCAATTGGAAAGACAGCAACCAAAATGGTGATGTGGTGGGTGAATATTTCACCCATTTTACACATCAACAAGCCACGACTCCCTATTTAGATTTGATTTGAAAAGATTATGAATATTAAATACTAAGGAAGATTTGCATTTGTCTTACAACGACTATATTAAAGGCTACACACTCTTTGGATTTGATTTGACCAATGACCACGGAGCTGATCAAGCCAATTTTCATCCCAAGTCGTCTGGAAGTTTGTCTTTGGAATTCAGATTCGAAAAACCTCCACAAAATCCACTTAATTTGCTATTATTTGCCGAATACGATAATGTCTTGGAAATCGACGTCAACCGCCAAGTTCTGGTGGATTGGTAAACCTCTGTATACTTCACAGTTGGAGGAAGCATTGGCCTGCCACATCCCGGAACAATTTGCAGGCGTGTTAGCCAGAAATCAACTACAAACCTTACAGCCAACACGCTATCCCTCAGCGTACGTTGTGAATACCGACGACGCAGGCCAGCCTGGAAAACATTGGACAGTTTTTGTGTGCGAAAAAGACCATTGTGATTTCTTCGACTCGTTTGGATGTTCCCCAGAAGTGTATGGCCAAGATTTTGCCGACTTTGCGCGGCGTCAAGGACCCTTACGTCACAATACCCGGAGGATTCAAGGAAATCAAAGTGCTGTCTGCGGGCATTATTGTTTCTATTACTTGTGGCATAAATTCCACGCACCGTCACCCCATGCTTTATCGGTGTTCCAATCTAATCTGACCGAAAACGATCGTTTAGTCCATGCTTGGGCCCATCACCATTTTCCTTGTTTGTCTTTTGAAGATGGCGAAACATGTTTAGGATTCATGAATGACAATACGTTAGAGTTAATGGATTTAAGTTGAATTAATTAAAGTTTAAAAAATAAATACCACGTGATCTTTTTTATCCAATCCAAAGCCCTTTTTCCAGTTTCCCGCCTATAAAAAGCGCAGTCACTTGTCTTTTGCCAGTCATTTGCAACATGGCAACCGAACCTATCATTGTTGTCCAAATCTTGGAAGTGGATGACAGGCCTATTAAAGTATTTACCCGTAATCAGCGTCTGGTACCTATAATCACTCGCTTATTACTACTTTCCCAAAATGACGACAAAATGACGTCATCAAGGAATTTCCCGGGGTTTTCCCAATGACGTCATCTCCCTAGCAACTTAAGTCCCTGAAGACATGCCCCTACTACTACGTCATGTTTAGTCACGTGGTACGTCTCAGCCAATCAGCGTCTGGTACCTATAATCACTCGCTTACTACTTACTATAATGTAGAAAATGATATTCTGAAAAGAGAATAAAATACACTCATAACAATCTGAACTAAAGGTACGTTACTATGTTTTTCAATACTACAGACAACAATTAAATCATTATCATGCAGAGGTTATATCTGTAAGTTGTTTGCTCTCTCTTATTACCTACCTGACACTATGATTACAATACGAACATGAAACTGATTTTATCGGATCCGTTCTTAACATTTTCAATTTTAAATTTTATATTAAAGACTGGATCACCATCTTGTACACAAAATCGTGCTCACGTATTCTTCAGAATGGTTTTT